AAGGAACGGACACCATGTCACTCCTACCTGAGCAGCCTGCACATTCAAAGGCAAACTCTTCCTGCCCCTGGTTAGCAGGAACGATATATTCCATCTCAGTCCTGACAGGCAGGTCTGGCTTATTCATGGGCTGAAGCTAGACACACAGAGGTGCTGGCTTGCCTTGAGAAAAAGTATGGACACGCTGTCATCCCCTAGTATGGACACACAGTCATTCCCTAGTATGGACAAGCTGTCATCCCTACTATGGACAAGCTGTCATCCCCTAGCAAGCCTTCTAAAGAGACTTGGGAGCAATTGTGTAAGAGATCAAAGTTAGGCAGTTGCTGTTATTACAATTAAAATATTTCACACTAGATCCATACCAGGAAGTAGCCCAGGTCTTCAGTTCTCTATAAAAAGGGAAACTACTGAAGGAAGCAGGCAGGGAAAGCTAAGTATCTCATGTCCCCCTGGGCAATGGGGAGTAACATCTGATGAAAGAGCTTCAGCTTACTCAGTTCCAACACACAGCACTTACACGCTCTGCCACTTTGCATGCGTGTGTGCATGTAGGCCAGAGGTCAATATTAGCAATGAGTGTCTTCCTCCATCATTTTCCATCTTTATTTTTTTTTGAGACAGGCTCTCTCACTGAACCTGGGGCTCGCAGATTCAGCTAGGCTAGCCGGCCAACGAGCTCCAGGGGACCTGCCTACCTCTGCTGGGGCTGGGGTTGCTGGCTTTCCCTACCAGGGGCTGGGGAGCTACAGAACACAGCAAGCACTTTGCCCATGGAGTCAATTCCCCAACCCCAAGCACCATTCTATTCATAACAGAATAAACTGGAGCAGCCTCGGACTGTCCACAGCCATTGACAGCTGCCAGGGAAAAGCACACGCAAATTACAAACCACTGTTTTTATCCTCTAACAGTATTCTAGGAAATTTCAGAGAAGTGTAGTAGTTTCTTGGTATGGATAAATTGAAACAAACTGTATAATCAAAAATGGTTATTTTTCGTTTTAAAATATTTCTAAACCAATTAATGAGGACAGCAGACAAAATAGCCTAGAGAGTACATTACTTAAATTTAAACAGCATCCTAATAAAGTAATTGTTTTTGAAAAGTTAAAATCTTAAATGAACTACAAATGTTCAATAATAAGAAATAATCATTATTAATATTATTAGGCTATAAACATTAGAATACAAACTCTAGTGGACAAACTTGGGAAACCTTTTAGGTCACTCAACCTTAATTAGGTATCAAAGTAGATGCTTTTTCTACTTGTCTGTTTCTGTCTCTGTCTCCTTCCCTGCTCCCTCTCCATGCTCCTCCCCCTCCCTTTCTTTAACCTCAGTGTAAAACCCATAGGAGCTTCCAGCCATGATAGCATAACTGAACCAAAGTAGCCCTCTTTCTTGTAAAATTATCATACAATTGAACAAAATAGTTCTTTCCAGGAATGGAGAACAGGCAGCCAAACCTACAATCCCTGTGGGAACAGAAACTCAACACTAGACTCCAAGGATGCCCAGTGCTCTCACGGTGGGGAAACTTCCTCAGCTAGGTGAGCCAGTTACTTTTGTGTCACAAGGACCACAATACTGACAGAAGCAGCCTGAGGACAGGGGGGCTAATTTGGCTCGTGACTACAGACGGTTCAGTCCACGGTTTTCTCCCCCTGCCCTGGCACAGATGATAACAGTGTCAGAGCCTGTGGCTGAGGATAGCTCTTCACACCACAGCTAACAGGAAACAGGCAAGAAGTGCCCAGGAGCCGGGCGGTGGTGGCGCACGCCTTTAATCCCAGCACTCGGGAGGCAGAGGCAGGCGGATCTCTGTGAGTTCGAGGCCGGGCTGGACCGACAGCCTCCAAAACAATACAGAGAAACCCTGTCTCCTAAAAACCAAAAAAAAAAAAAAAGGAAAAAAAAGAAAAAAAAAGAAGAAGAAGAAGAAGTGGGGACAGTAGTAACGTTCTTAAAGACTCTTCATCGCTGCCTCTCAAATTTTTCACAATTTCCCAAATGGCACCACTAGCTGGGGGGCCAAACAGGATTTCACAGGAGATAGTTCAGATTCAAACTCTAGCACGGGATGAACAGGAAAACCAACCAGTGCATGATATTGGGGCTACACTGAGCAAGCTGAGGTCAGAACTCAGGACCACTAGAATGGTGGGAGCCTGCAGGGCAGGGCAGCAACTGCAAGGGAGGGAGCCTGCCATGGTCTGTGGTTAGAGGCAGTGCTGGAGGTAACCCGAGGCTCAGCAGAAGCAGCTGGAGGTGAGAGCAGTGTCTAAGTGAGCACTGATGGAGCTGTAGGCAGAGAGCAAGAGGCCAGAAAGGTAAGGGACTGTTCTTTAGCAAGACTGCTTCACTTGTGATGTCCTTAGAAGGCCAACATCTGAAACATGTAAGGCGAGCTTTACAGCACATGAATAATGACAAGTTACATAAATGGGAGAGTGGATGAAGCAGAGTGCGGGGATTTAATGAGGTCCACAGCAGAAAAGGAACATCAGAGAACAGCGGAGGGGCAGACAGAGCAAACATGAAAGTGACAGATACAACCCCACCCAGCAATAACCAAAGCAAATGCAAGGAGACTAGAAGCCCCAGCTCACAGGCAGACAAAAAAAATAGCATCAGAGACATGCTGCCTAGAAAATATACATAGAAAGAACATAAAGGCAGTGAAAATATCCAGTACAAATAGTGTGGCTTCATTAATATCAGATGAGTAAACTTCTATAAAAAAATGAAGACATCATATAAAAATAAATGAAGAAATCTATGAGAAAGACAACAATCCTAAACATGGACCCAAAGACAGAACATTAAAATTCATGAGAGACCCAAAGTAAGACACAGACCACAACAATCAGACTTTCCAGCAGCCCCACGCATTTTCAGGAGCCTGACCCAGAGACACAGCTACTTGAGAAGCTGAGGCTGAAAGATCTCAAGTTCAAGACCTGAATAGGCTACAAAGAGAGTTCAAGCCCATCTGGAAAGCTCAGCGGGTCCTGTCCCAAAGTTTTAAAGGATAAGGAAGGGCTAGGGCACATCCCAGTAGTAGAGCACTTGCCTAGCACGTGTGAAGCACAGATTCGATCCATCGTGCCACAGGTGAGAGGGGAAAGTCACCAACATTCTAAGCAACACAATCGAATTCCCTAAGACGTATAGCTAGCAAGTGCTGTAGACACACTACAGTGATCGCTCTGACCATCAGCTAAGCCACAGATAGGAGTCAACAGATGTCAAGACATGTAAACCTTATGCTATACGTCTCTGACTATAACATAAAAGAAAAATATAACACTGAATCTTATGAGCAGGTAATATGTGAAAAAGTAACAGTGAATAATGCGAGCAGATAAACAAGTAACAATGAATAATGCGAGCAGATAGTGACACAAAATCCAGAAATTTCACCTAGGAGAGACACGCCGGTGAGATTAGGATGGGCCTCACTATGGAGCCCTGGTCGATCCTGATCACTCACTGCCCCTTTGCCTCCCAAGGGCTGGCATTACAGGCAAGTGCCGCCAACCCAGCATATATTTTTAAACATACTTGAATCTTTAAAGCTGTCATATCACAAATGGGGAAAAATTAATGAGGAAGTGGGGGGGGCTGAGGAGCAGTTGATGAGAAAGATAAAGCAGGGAGCTGAAGATGACCTCTGCACTCCGCATCTCACAGTGGGGACACTCCGCGAGGGGAAGGACAGTACACTAAAGACCAAAAATTCTTAAAATCTGTCATTGGAAAATGCTTTGGAGAAATTGAGATGTGCCCGTAAGAAAAAGAACGTGAGCTGGGCAGTGGTGGCGTACCCCTTTAATTCCAGCACTTGGGAGGTAGAGGCAGATGGCAGATTTTGAGTTTGAGGCCAGCCTGGTCTTCATAAAGAGTTTCAGGACTGCCAGGGCTGCACATGAAGCCCTGTCTTGAAGAAGGAAAAGGAGGAGGAGAAGATATGAGACTGGAACAATGGCCCTATGGGTAAGGGTGATTGTTGTACATGGTTGAGGACCTGAGGTCGGATTCCAGCACCCACATAAAAAACTGGGTGTGGTCATGCATCTGTAACCCTGGCACTAAGGGGTTGGTGACAAGAGAACCCCTGGACTAAAGGAATTAGATGGAGAGTGATAAAGCAGGTTACCCAATGTTATCTGCAAAATCGTGTCATACACCCACACCCATACACACACACACACACACACGTGTACAAATATTACACACACATTGCAATAGAAAAATTTAAATAAAAATATTTCTCTTGTGAGACTACTAAATCCCTTCAAGACTAGTGGCAAGAAAAAAGCCACTTCTAGAAAAGCAGAACAAGGTGTAGACTACACAGTGCCTCCTACCAGTGACCACTGAGTGTGAAACAAAAATCTAAAGTCATCCAGCCTTTCAGGTGTGTCTTTCACCAAGCCACCGAGACCACATTCGACATCACCCAATGGCTGCAGTCACGGGACCCCGGCAACAGTTCTTATCAAGAAGAGACCAAGAGACCGCAGTCCCCAGGAAGCATGATTTTCCAGTAAGACAATTTTAAAAATAATAATAGTAGTAGTAAATTAGGTCAAAAAATAAATAAATAAATCAGTTTGAAAATAAGTTCAGATGTCATTGCTACTTGGGGAAAACAATCAGACGTAGAAAAAGTGAGAGCAATTCAAAGTGCATCTTTGTGTCCTTATCTGGATGCTCCAGTGTTAACTTTTCATTCCGTTGTCACCCACTGATGGGCACTCAGGCATCACAGCATCGGTCACTAACAGTGTGGCAGTGCTTCCATGGAATGTGCCACCTGTATCCCGTATCTTGATTCACACGACCCTTTCTTCAGGTTCCCATCCTCAGCCCCTGTGGGTCTTCAGTGTTGGGATAAAGCTTGAGGGGGACCTTGCGTGGGAGGATCCTGGCAGGTTCCATGGCAGGCGAGGGTGACTGAGGCGGAAGGACAAACATGCCAGGCAGACAGAGCTCTTTAAGTGAGAAGCTTTATTAGAAGGTGGGGAAAGGAACTAAGAAAGAGGTAAAGAGACATAGAGACAGAGGGGACAGAAGAGAAGACGGAGACAGGAAAAGTCTTGTCTGCCCCAAGGGAACCAGAGAAGAGGGCAGGGGAGAGCTGGGGGGGGGGAGGTGGGAGCAGGAAAGAGAGCTAAGTGGGCGGGGTCTGTCTTTTAAAAGGGTCCTTTGCACCTGAGAGCAGACTAGTACTCATTGAACCCTGGGCTGACCAGGGTACTGCCCGGGTGCCTTCTGCCAAGTGACAGGCGCAGGCCAACATAATGCGTGGGCCTGTGTGAGTTTATAGGGATCGTGTACATTGAAGAGTCCACAGGAGCCAGGTGAGGACATTGGGCACCCAGGATACCCAGGAACTAGAACTATCTACCAGCGGTTGTGAGCTAGCATGTGGATACCGGGCTCAGAACTCAGGCTCTCTGCAAGAACAGTACATGCTCCTAGCTGCTGAGAATCTCTCAAGCCCAAGGACAATATTTTTACAGGCAAATACAAAACAAAATTAAAAGTCCAAGGTGTTTTAATAGTCTGAACATTTGGCTTCAATATAAGCTCCTGGTAACTTAACATGCTTTTTCTAAATTAAGTATTTTTGTTACATTAACTTTTTTTGTGGTTTTGTTTTTTGTTGTTGTGTTTGTTTGTGGGGCTTTTGTTGCTGTTGTTGCTGTTTTGTTTTTTTGAGACAGGGTTTCTCTGTATAGCCCTGACTGTCCTGGAACCCACTCTGGAGACCAGGCTGGCCTAGAACTCACAGATCCACCTGCCTCTGCCTGACTTTGTTTGTTTGTTTATAACGCAAGTAAGTCATCCAATAATCCGTGCATGTGTTCTGAGTTTTTCTGCTAATTATATTGTCTGTGATCTTGTGTTTTGGTCAAGCATTCACTCCAGGCTTAGGTAGATGAGCGAAATACCCATAACCCCATGTACAATATTCACTAAAACACTTAAAACTTGCCCCCAAAGTTCTCTATTTGCAGTGCAGTGACACCCAGAATGAAATGTGCCTCCTGTTTTAGTCTCAGCGACCAGCGGAGGGAATGGAGGCTGCCAATGGTTTTCTGCACATTGTGAAAGTCACCATTAGGGAAATCGAGACTTCAGTGACTCTGGTCACACACTTCAGTATAGACTAATCTTAGAGAAAAGCGCTCACCCTGGCAGCCTGTTTGCAGTTCACTAGGCTTTTTTTTTCTTTTTTTAAACATTTGTTTTCTATTTATCTATAAGCAATAGAAGAAAACCCAGCTGAAGGGCCAGTGTGGTTTTTATACAAAGTTCATTTTGGGAAATCTGACAAGCATGTAGCCTCGCATGTCTAAAATAATTCTAGTAGAAAATTCAGAACTTGCTGGGTGAGTTAATGTTTACTTTACTCACATAGTACTTGGTGCCATTTGTCAAACATTTGGGTTTTAGATGTTTTAAGAACAGGAGTTTTAATTACACACTAAACCTGAAAGTGCACATTATAATACTGCAGCACACAGAGGCTATCAACCAGTCACACTTTAAGACCGCCAGGACCCAGGCAAAGAGGGATGTGTTAACAAAATATGAGCATTAGTGCTTGTGCACACGGCCCTGGGGAAGCATGGCCACAGGCACACATGCTATTAGATGCCAGATGAGCAGACTCGTGTGTGTGTGTGTGTGTGTGTGTGTGTGTGTGTGTGAGAGAGAGAGAGAGAGAGTGTGTGTGTGTGTGTGTGTGTGTGTGTGTGCTGTAATATCTTACCTAGATAACAGTAGATAACAGCCAGACAAACCCTGAAAGGTGGCAGAGGTGATCCTCTGTTCTGGAAACTCAGCCAGTGATTTCCCATTAGAGATGATTTTGTTGCGTGTGTTGATGGTTCTGTGCTGTAGTTTGAGCAATTCATTTTGTAGATGAGAATAAACTGAATCTTTAGTGCTGGCTGAGCTAGTAGCAAGAACTTGCACTCTGACTTTTAAAAGCCCTAGAGAAGTATTCTTCTAGATCAGTTTGATTAGTTATGCCCTTTCCAGGTGTTTGGACTTCGATATCACAAGACATTGCCATCTGCCAAGATCACACTTGAGAATCACAAGCTTTTTTAAAAAGTCACAAACCCCGCAAGTGTTGCTTGTTCCTTTGTCTGTCTTATGTGGGTCCTAGGAAGTCGATGTCAGCTCCGGAAGCACTTACCCCTGAGCTCTCTGCAGCATCCTCAGACTGTGGTAAGTGTGTGATTTGGGGTTTGACTCATAACTATCTTGAGGAGCATGCAGCCCACAGTTGGGCATGCTTTGAAGAACAGACTTTTTAAATCCAACCTTTACTTTCATTTCAAAACAATCTAATTTTCTCTTAGTTGTCTCTGAGTGATCCATTTAGGACAGGGGGAACCCATCACTGTCTAGCTGTTGGTGTAAGAGTCACAGGAGACAGGGTACCTCCCTGGAACTGCTCTCTCCAGCCTTTGTGTCTTCAGCACATAAGCACAGTGGGGTCTCCCCTCCAACTGGTGCTCCCAGGGAGTGTGATGAACTTCATTGTTCTTCTCATAAAGAATTACTTCACGTGGCCATCATTTTGGCTCAGTCTCCCTGGTGTTTATGGGAAGACAGGAAAACAGTCTTTGCAGTTTTGAACATTTTCCCCCAAGGAGCCACTGAGACACAAACATCACACCCTGAATAAGAAAAAGGATTTCCTTCCAAACACAATTGACAGCCCAGGTGTTGAGTGAAAGGGAATTTATCTGACCTCAGAGGAAAGATGAACTATGGGCCTTTTGGAAAGCCTGTCACATTTCTCTACAAACCCAAGGACACTGCTTGCACCATCAAACAGAAAGGCCACGCTGGACGAGTTGGCCCACCCTTGTAGTTCTATGAGGCGTTAGCAAGGGAAAGGTTTGAGAGCCACAAAGTCTCACAGGAGACTAAATCTAGCCTCCTGAGGTAATTGCTGAATTGACCCTCAACACCCTCCCTCCTTAAACTTCTTTCTCCCATCTCTAAAGTGAGGCAAGCCTGGATTTCCGCAGTCTCGGCCTTCTCTGGGCTTCTAGAAGTCATGGAAGCTTACTGCCTGGATATTAGACAAGTTCAAGGTCATCACCCTGGTTAGACCCTTGACTTTGCTCGATGGTGTCACAGTCAAGAGATCTGGAATCTTACTGTGGTCTTCTGTGTTCACATCTATTTCAGTCAGAAAAGCAATGGCCCCTGGTGCTACCATGAGCTTAAAGGGAGTATGGTAAAGTGACTACTGGGTAAGTCAGTCACAGAAAACATTTGTGTCCTCCAGGCCCTGCCACTGCTCTGTCTGGGGAACGTTCTCAGGTGCCACATTCCCAGGGTGGCAGAAATTGTCTCCCAAGAGTGGAAGCTTCCTTTGATGTCTCTGCTTCTCTGTTCTCTTCCTACCCAGCAGGAAGACTGTCCCTGTCTATCTAGAGAACCCTTCTGCACGTTCCCTAATTGATCAGTTGCCTATTGTGTCCCAGGGACATCCAAGTTGTACCTGGAAGGCAAGAGAGGGGTATCAACAGGATGTCTGCATACACTTACAGAGGCTACAGAACAACCCAACCGAGTGGGAGGCAATGACTGCTTTTCCTCTCTAGCCTTCCTAAGCTCAGGCCATGTCCCTGCCACCAGAGCCCTCCTATGACTCACCCCCAAGCCCCCTCCCTTCTGCTGTCCAGCTTCAGGCTTCCTCTGCATCTTAGGCCTTCTCTCAGAGCCTGTGACGCTGTTGAAACCCCAGCCCACACACCCCATTTTCTATTTCCCATAAACACTGGTGACTTTGCCTTTGCAAAACTCATTTTCTCCTGTCGCCTGTGATGTGACTTCTTTCCCCATGCGCAGCCTGCCTTCCTTGCTTGCTTCAGGAACACTGTGTATACTTTCGTCTTCGCTTCTGCTCCCCTTCTCCCTCCCACACCCATCCCCGCCTCAGAGGCAGCCATCCCCGGGAGCCTGCCTTCCTTTACTCTGCTTCCTAGTCTTCTCATTTTTCTTAGTTCATGACTACAAGGACGACCTGAATCTGCTCCATTTTGCAGCCTTACTTTGTCCAAGGCTTATTTACCAGCGCTGCTACAATTTCAAATGTACGTGTCGAGTTTAGGACTCAAATACCCTTCCTAACCCACTCCGTGGGACATTTTCAGTGGGATAAACAACCTAAGCCCTCAGCATGTATCTAAAACCATCTACTCCACCTTCTCCTAGACGTCCAGTCTGAAATCGCGGGTGATTTGTGAATTCTGCCTGGTGCCTGGCCAGTTGGTCTCCAAATCCTGCACATCCTCCCTTTTCAGAATCTCCTCCTCATCGCCTTCTCATTCCCTTCACCCCAATCAAGACCTAGATTTTAACTCCTGTCTGCTAACCAGTTTCTCTGCTATCTCTGAGGAATCTCTGACCAGCCACCCCACCCAATCTGCCCTGTGCATTTCTGAGGAGCAAGTCTTGCTGGATTATCTCTACCCTGTCCGAATAGCTTCATTTGATTCTCCAAACCTGAGGGACAAAGATGACGGTCACAGCCCGGCCACAGTCACAGTTCTCTCCCTCTGACCGTGTTTGCCAACCAAACTGCTGTAACTGGCCATGCGCCCAACTGTGTGTTTTGTCACCAGCTGCCTTGACAAACTCTCTTCTGGACAAATGTGGCCAAGTCTATGAGGCTTGTTCTGGGTTTCGCTTGTTCCCAACTCTAGGTCACTCCCGTTTTCAATATGCTCAGAGGCATACTTACTCAGATCCAGAAAGTATAAAAATTCAGAATTTTACTCTGGGAAACAGGGCAACCGTGTCTAGTCACTGTGGTCATTTAGAGGACTTTGAGTTGTTCCCACTGCTGCCTCATGTTAACTTCTCAGTAAGGTGCCTGTGAGGCAGGTGTCTCGTATTTTCTGTGCAGCTCTTTCTTCAGTGTCCGAGCCCTGTCAGCTAAGAAACTCAAGGCTGTGCTCACCCTGGTACCTGAGCCTTCAAATGGGATGTTCTCGGGCCACCCTACCAGTCCTTTTCAGACTGGCTAGTTTTCATGTTTATTTTCTCATGGCCTTTAAAGTTTACCAAATTCCCAGGTCTGGGGTGGTTTTCTGTCACTGAAGCCAGTGAAGCGTGGTATTATTTGCCATCCGGAACACCCTCTGGTTCTCCTCAGAGGGGGATGAGAGAGAAAGGGGAGCAGGTGCAGGAGGGTCTGTTCCCAGGGTGCTGACCCCCAGCAGGAGCATGACAGGGCTTTAAAATGGGATTAGACACCCAAACAAGAAAAGGCCATACTCCGAATTTCCAGTGGAAATGCCAACACAGATAGAATTGAACCTAGGGGACTCTCATAGCCCGCCTCCACCTCATTGATTTAAGAGGGAAAAAAATGATAAATTCCAACAAACTGTTTCTCAAAAGCTCAATAAAGCAGCTATTGGAAACAAAGCCAGGCAGTGACAAGGCCGAGTCATCGCTTGAGAAAGTCCTTTACTATTATTTCTTATCTTGCTGTAGGAGGGGTTGGTGGGGAAAGACCCAAAGATAGAAAGAAAGAAAGAAAGGAAACTGTGTTGTGTGCACATTCTCAACCTATTTTTAAAACCTTGGTCCGGCTCACTATAAACCCCGCCTCTTCCTGAACGTTTTCCACCTGCATCTCTGTGACAGATGACAGAAAGGCACTGTGTCCCCTGATCTGCATCCTGTTTTAAGACAACAGGCCAACAGCTTTGGGTCAAACTGGAGGCACCCGTAAGAGGAACCTTCACCTGTGACTTCAAAATCCACGGGGAAGGAATACCAGGTCCTTGACTGACTGAAAAGTTGGGAACCAATTCTGGGAATTCTCGAGCCTTTCACTTGCAGATGTGTCTCTTTATCAGTATGACTGGGGTGAGTGCCCATCAGCATTGTGCCTAAGCACACCAGACCAATGGAGGTTTGCTTCTAACATGAAAAATTGCAGAAGCAATGGCGATATTCTAGAGACCTACATGAATAGTCATGTGAAAAAGTCCCAACAAAATACATGCTCTTAGGCTCAAATTTTAAAACGTTAAGAATATATGAGATATATATTCTATAGCCATAAATTATTATTAAAGTTCTTGAGCATTGGCTGTGGAAAAATATGTCTAGTTTGGCATGGTAGCACACGTGCCTATAATCCTAGCACTTGGAAGACTGAGGAAAGATCATTAGCTTGGGGCCAATCTAAGCTATAGAATGAATCCCAACCAACCTGGACTACAGAATAAGGCCCTGCTTGAGGGGAGGGGGTCAAGTCTACCATAAATTCGCTTCTTGAAGAATGCTGACTACTTGGCATAGTGGCATAGTGGGATACAGAGTTGGGGTGAGGTCAGTGTGTCCAAACCTCACGCTTGAAATTGTCTGTCAAGCTGAAACGACATATTTATAGTCTTTTGTTCAAAGACATGTATCCGAGTTAGGGTGACTATTGCTATAATGAAATACCATGACCAAAGCAACTTGGAGAAGGAAGTTATTTTAGCCTACACAGTCCATCACTGAGAGAAGTCAGGACAGAGGCCTCAAACAGGGCTGGAACTCAAACAGTGATTCTCAGCTTTCCTAACCCTAAGCCTAATACAGTTCCTCATGTTATAGTGACCCCAACCATAAAATTATTTTCATTGCTACTTCAGAATTGTAATTTTGCTACTGTTAGGAGTCATAATTCAAATACCTGTGTTTTCTTAGGCAACCCCTGTGAAAGGGTCTTTTGAAATGGGGGTCACAACCCACATGTTGAAAACTAAAGGCAGAAGCTGGTTGGTACAGAGGCCATGGAGGGATGCTGTTTACTGGCTTGCTCTCCATGGCTTGCTCAACCTGCTTTCTTATAGAAACCAGGACCACCCAGGGATGGCACCACCCCCATCAATCACTACTTAAGACAATGCCTCACAGGCTTGCCTACAGCCTGATCTTAGGGAGGCTTTTCTAAGCTGAGGCTCCCTCCTCTCCAATGACAGCTAGCTTATGTCAAGATGACGTAAACTAGCCAGCACAACGTGCATACATGCCAGTGGATACACTATGTAATTATCTTGGGTTTCAACCGGAAGGAAAAATTACATAAAAACTAGTAGCCTGTGGCAAAATATATGGATTTGCTACATGATTTGAAAGTGTGCAAATCAATTCAAAGACAGTCGTCAATACCTCAGCTAAAACCCAGGGACTAATCCCTTAACCTGCAAGAATACCCCCACAGAGCTAGGAAAAACACAACCGGGAACACATTTTCTCACATTCTGGCTAAAGAGTGCATAGGGTCTCACTGAAAATGGCTTTTAGGAGAGGCCAGTCACAGGGTCTTAGAAGTAGCAGAGACTTTTTGCTTAGCCACGTGGTCTTCAGAACTGACGTATATTAACACATGGAAACACTGGGCAGTACTAAGTGGACTCTGGATTAAGCTGAATTTGGAAAACTCTTCTGTGATTGAAATCCACCAGCCTAGAGAGAGAGTTTGTGAGAACTCTCTAAAGCATTCTGATAGTGAAGTATGACTTTGCTATGATCTTCGGATCCATGCCTCTCTATTTAGCTGGGACTGCCGTAAGCTTGGCAAGGATGTGGCGTTAACCAAGCAGGAGCTGTGAGCTTTAGATGGTCTTGTTATATAAACCAGCTAAAGTAAACATTGCAAGGGCACACTTTTCCTTCTTCGAGGAGGAGAGAGGGACTTTAGGAGAGAACTGAAATGTATCCTAGGAGATAAGAAGAGAAAGGCCGGGAGAAGTTTAGATCACGTAGCCATGACTCTTAGGTCAGGGAAAGGGGACATTCCCTCCAGCCATGTTTCCTATTAGAGAAGCAGGGCATATTGAGTAGACAACACTTGAAATACACAGACTTGAAACCTTGCCTTCTGGTGCTTCCGTTATGCCTGTCTGCTCTTACGGGGGGTAACACTTGAGGACTCTGCTTCCTTCCTCAAACCTTTGCAGCCCATTTTCCATGATGCCCTTGGGAGCAGGGTTTTATTGTGGTGGGGTTTATGAACACCTGCAGTGTATGGCACCACTGCAGTTACTGCGCTGCAGCTCAAGCCATGAGTGTGGTTGCCAATACCATGTTAGATGCTTTATTGCAGACTTATTTGACTATATACACATATGCACTCTAAGAACAGAGAGTGATCGCCTTTGCTATACAGGAGATTCTAAGGTTCTCTCTCCATATTGACTCCTGAATCCTGTCTCACGTTCATTTTTCTTACTTCTCACAGAAAATTTTGAATGTTCTTACTTCTCATGGAAAAATGTGTCCTTAACCATTCTTCAGAACAGTAAGATACTATGTTTAGACAAACTTCAGAAAACTTTAGTCAAGTTCCTTAAGAGCAGGTACTGCATTAGAGACACACTTGCTCTGTACATTGATTTAAAAACAGCCCTCATGTCCTCAGTGTCAGTGTGTCCATCCAGAAGGAAAGCATCTGCCTTTCATTTTTATTTTTTAAGACAAGGTCTTACTATGTGACTCTGGCTGGCCTGGAACTTGCTCTGTAAACCAGGCTGGCCTCAAATTTAAAGATCTGCCTGTCTCTGCCTCTGAGTATTGGGATTAAAGACCTGTTCCACCAAGCTTGGTAAATTTATTATTACTATACATTTTTTCACTGCTCATCCATGCCAAGTAGATGCTTTACCCCTGAGTCATGCCTCAGCCTGGTTCCTAGTTTTGGCTATATCTTTTCCTACGTCATACCTTTGTGGTGACTATTCCTGCCAAGTTAGAAAGCTGCCGACTTTGAGATTGATCTATTGTCTGGCCACCTTTTTATAAAAAGTGTTTCAAAGTTCACCTCCTTACTCTCCAAATGTATATAGAGAAAGACATATATGAAATTAAAGCACCACTAAGTTACATATATATAATCGAGGTACCACTAAGTTAAATGAGTTCCAGAAGTAACCACCATTCTGATTCCATCCTCGAGTTCTAGCTTGATTGACTTCAGTTGGGCCTCTTGTCACTAAGGGCCTCTGACAGAACTAGGACTGAAACTCAGGGAAATCAGTCTGTGGTGTTAAGCAACATTCACGCCAAGATCTCTAACTACCACCTGAACAGCAGCAGGCCCAATACTCCATGTTTTAAAACTCCAGGGTACTTGAGGCTAACCACACGCAAATGACGCTCAGGACCAGTGTGGCAGGAAGGAAGTTTCAGCACTGGAAGCTCATGGGAAACAACATCTGACTGCCCCCACTCTGCTAATCCGAGCTGGCTGGCTTACGTAGTCAGCTAATTGAGCATCACAACCATTTCTTCAGCCGCATAGTTCTGCAGCCGTCACACTGGTGAGCAACCTCTCCTTCACACACCCTGTCCCAGTGCACAGACACACTGGAGACGTATCACAGCCTTCCACACCCAGCTATGTCTAACTTCCGCTCCTCTCTCTGGAGCCTTTCTCTCATAGCAGCTATGGTGTGGTAGTCTAGCCTGTGAAGACAGACCGGGGTGGTCCAGGGACCCGCCCTGCAGTTGGGTGGGGATTCTAGGATAAGAACAGTAGGAGGCAGGGCCTGGGAGCATCTTAGACCTGCCAACTCTGGGAGCGAGGGGGTCACAGAAAGGGCAGAAGAGGGACCTCCCTGGTGGGGAGTCCACCAGGATAAGGCCTGCTGCCTGGGTCCAAGGGCCACCCTGGAAGTAGAGGCTGTGCGTTAGCGGTAGAGATTGGCCTCAAACCCCTGTCTGTCCAAACCCAAGCCCATTCCTTTTCATTGTATGACTTACCTTAAGTTTAGATGCATTTTACAGGTATGGCAATTTCAAATACTAGAGTGTAGTGTTCAGGAAGGGATTTTGAACTTCTTTAAGTTTAAAAAAAAAAAGCTGTGTAGGAAGCTCTCCTCCCGTGCTTGCGAGATGACCGCAGGGATCACTTTGTACAGGAGCCTGAAGGTCTGATAGGGAACTTCTTCCCTGCAGAGACAAAAACAAAGACCCCTCCATAGAAACTCCCAAGACAAATGTGACAAATGCCTTAGTCAGGGTTCCTATTGCTGCAATGAAACACATAATCAAAAGCATCTTGGGGGAGGAAAGAGTTTATTCAGCTTACACTTCCATGTCACACTTCATCACAAAAAGGAAGTCAGGACAGAACTCAAACAGGGCAGGAACCTGGAGGCAGGAGCTGATGCAGAGGCCATGGAGGGATGCTGCTGACTGGCTTGTTCCCCATGGCTGGCTCAGCCTGCTTTGATTTTTGTTTGTTTGTTTGTTTGTTTTATTTTGTTTTTCGAAACAAGGTTTCTCTGTGTAGCCCTGGCTGTCCTGGAACTCGCTCTGTAGACCAGGCTGGCCTTGAACTCACAGAGATCTGCCTGCCTCTGCCTCCCAAGTACTGGGGATTAAAGGTCTGCGCCACCAATGCCCGGCTCGGCCTGCTCTCTTATAGAACCCAGAACCACTAGCTGGCACCACCACCATGGGCTGGACCCTCCCCCACCAATCACTAATTAAGCAAATGTCCTAAAGCTGGGTCTTATGGAGGCATTTCCTCATTTGAAGTTCCCTCCTTCCAGATAACTCTACCTGTGTCAAATTGACATAGAATCATCCAGCACAAGAAACCAAAAGGTCCTTTCCCAAACGTTCCCCATAGAGGCATATGGGGCCTTCTTACAGAGCATGACCGACTCACATACAATTGTACTGGAAAGCCTTCACCCGGTGTGAACGAGGTTTTTTCCAGAAAGAAGGAAGGGAAATGCGGTGCTGGGCTGAGACACAGTTCTGTGGTAGAGTACTTGCCTAGCATGCACAAAGCCCTAGGTTTAATCCCCAGCAGATGAAAAGAAAATGCAGACTTCTTTACCTTCTAGTCCTGAGACCAGATTGTGAGTCTACAGATGAAGGGGTTTGTTTTGTGCCAGCAATAGGACTTCTAGGGACCACAGAGAACCTATCAATGGAGCAAAATTCAAGTTTTAAGGAGGCATGCATGAAACTGAATATTAAGAAATATTGGCAGAAATAATTCAACAAATGGCTTGTATGTTTCACGACAGAACTAACGTCTGGCTGATCAACTGAGGACAGCATTTCCACGTGATATTTGACTGTGCCTTTGTATTTTCACTCAGCCTTTTACTTTGGATCAACTTTAAAGAGTAGATTTTCATTTCTTCCCAATCAAAAGAACCGAGGTTTGCTGACTGTAATCATGTCAGCGCGGAGGCTCTCACTACCTGTCTCCATTCTGAGATGAACCTCCTTGATAATATGCTCTGTTTGGTGAGAGATCATTATCTCTGATTTTGTGTTATTCCCCACAAAAAGGAAACAAAAACTGAAATGTTGAATCTCTAGATAGTCAGCTGTCTGAGCATGGTAGCATAGGTTTTCAAAAATATTTGTTTAATTGTGTATGTGTGTGCCTAGATCTATATATGTGCACCATATATGTGAAGTACCCTCAGAGGTCAGAAGGGGAGCCAGATCCCCTGGAATGAGAGTTATGGAAGGTTGTGGCCTGCCATATGGTTGATGGGAATAAGTAAATGTAAACACTGAGTCAACTCTCAAGCCCCTCAACATGGATTGTTTTGTTTGTTTTGTTCTTTGAGTCTGGATATCACTATGCTGCCCTGGCTGGCCTGGAACCAACTATGTAGACCAGGCTGGCCTTGAACTCAAAGACCTATGTCTGCTTCCGCCTCCTGATTGTAAAGCCACCATGCCCAGCAACATGGACTTTTTAATAGCAACAATGTGCAATAACAAATGTTGACTCTGAGGGACTACTTGTTTGCTGGCTTAGTTGTTGTTTTGCTGTAGCGATGTTGGTCGCCAGAAGCAACACACAGTCCACCCGCCACTAAATTAACTGTAAATTCGGGGAAAGTCTTGAAGCTCTTTTTAGAAATTATTAACTAACAAATCTTAATTTCCCAAGTGCTCAGTCTTTCTGCTGTCTCTCCAGCTCACCTGTACAGCAAATTCTTCTTGTAAACAATTTACCATTTGTCTGAGTCACTGTTCTATTTCTATGGAGAGACACCATGACCAATGCAACTCTTAGAAAAGAAGGCATTTAATTGGGAACTTTCTTTCCATTTTAGGGAGTTAATCTATAACCATCATGGAAGGAAGCAGACAGGCAGGGTTGGTGCTGGAGCTTTACATGCCTGTTTGCAGGCAGCAAGCCAAGAGAGAGAAACTGAGCATGGTGTGGACTTTTGAAACACCCAAGCCCACACGTAGTGACACACTTCCTCCAACAAGGCCACATCTCTTAATCCTTCCTAAGATTTCTATTAACTGGGGACCAAACACCCATAGAGCCTATGGAGGTTGCTCTTTTTCAAACCACCACACCATCCAACAGTCCCGTGAAGGAAAAAGTGTCTTCAATGCACACTGAAGAGTTTAAAGGAAATAAGATAGCTCTGCTGTGATCCAGCATCTGTCACCTGTAACCACTGCTGCGCCTGAGAAGGTCCCACAGGAGCCCACCCGATCACTACGGTAGTTCTCAGTGCAGAGCCAGGGTTGAGGCTGTTTTGGAAGGAGAAAGAAAAAACAAACAGTAGAAGAACTCAGAACCATTCTCTGACTTTAAAAAAACAAACAAACTGCAATGCCAGGGCTGGAGAGATGGCTCAGTGGTTAAGAGCACTTGCTACTCTTCCAGAGGGCCCATGTTTGATTCCTAGCACCTACAAGGTAGCTCACAACCTTCTGTAACTCCAGTTCCAGGTCTGGCACCCCCTTCTGGCATCCACAGGCACTGCATGTACACAGTGAAGAGACGCACATGGACAGACAGTAATACACAAAAGATAAAATAACCTCAAACGCCAGCACTCACCATCACTCTTCTAAAAATAGACACAATCTTCTACCTCTGTTAGTGAATGAGAAGCCAGATTGGAAGAGGAAAAACTCAAACACTTATGTTTCTTGCAGTGGCAAGTCAATATTCGTCTTCCTTGGCCATTACCAAACTGTGACACAACTCAAGAAATCAGCAAATGGCCAGTTTGCTTCAAACTGTTTATCTTGCTTGCTAGTAAAACCTACCCTAATAAAAGCAGTATCCACTACTTGAAGCACCTGACAGATGACAGAAAGATAAACGATAGACAGGTGATAGACTGATGGGCAGATAGTAATAGGTAAACATATTTATGTATCAGTACATTCTCAGAATTATGTGAACTTTTTCTTGTGTCATGCCGATTTTTTGGGAAGATATATATTTATTCAACACACAAATGATAAAAACCTGAAAAAGGAGGAGAACAAGAATAATTTTTCAGTGGGGTGTTGGCGCACGCCTTTAATCCCAGCACTCGGGAGGCAGAGGCAGGCAGATCTCTGTGAGTTCCAGGCCAGCATGGTCTAGAGTGAGTGTCAGGACAGGCTCCAAAGCAATCCAGAGAAACCTTGTCTTAAAAAACAAAAACAAAAAAAGAATCATTTTTCTTTGTAACTTCCACCTATTTGTAACATTAATGAAAATATCCATCCTTAAGTGAGGATAGAAGACAATTAAGAAGGCTGTGGGTGTTCTGAATCCTTCTAGAACACTGTCCTGTCCCTGGAGCAAAGCTGGACAAGGCACTCACCCTTTCATCTTTCACTTCCTCCTATCGCATCCTTCCCGGCTGACTCACCTTTATATCAGGCTCCTGTCCACACTCAAACCTAGGTGACCTGAGACAGCCACCACAAGGGACAATAAAATCATAACAAAAATACAGGATTACACAGAAGCTGGGAGCCAAGACGACAGTTTACCTTAAGACGTCAGTAGGATAATCAACTTTACAGTCCTTAAACTTGACTATTACTGAATAGCAGACTATCTATCCACATCTACAGTACAGTTTAGAGCAGGAAAATCCAACTTTCCCATCATCCCCGATACCAATTCTGACAGACATCCCCATGAATTTGACATCATCTAGAAAAACACATCTAGAAAAATAATATTATATAATAATAAAAAAATTTTGAGCCATCTTTCAAAGTTTAAACATGCTCCCATTCCATGGCTTTGTACACATTTTATTTAGAGTACGAGGGCCCATGTGGAAAATTCTTCCAGAAGAAATCCACTCGTCCTTTTGATTAATATTGTGATGTGGAGCCAGGCAAATTTACAGCTTGTATAACACTGCTGACATCCTGGTGTGAGCTCCTAGCCCTCCGAACGGCCTTCTTAAGTCAATAGGAGACATTTAATAAGGACAAGTGCAGTTTTAAATATGTCATTTGTTTTTACAGCCTGCTTACTCTCACCCCACATCTCCACCCCCACAGGCCCCCTAGCCGGCATTGTCCTCCCTATCGGGGCAACCCACACAAAGAAAGAAGCAACTGCCGCCTCACCGCAGCCAGGACACAGCCTGGCCCTATCTAATCAAGGGCAGAAGGTCACTTCCGAACTACCGGGCAATAAAAGATTATTTCCAGCGACAAAACAGAGAGGCCCAGCGGCAGGGCGGAGTGCAGGGAGGGGGGGGGGGGAGGGGGAAGGGACCAGTCCTCCGGAGGAAGCGCATTGACTCTGGGCAACAGACGGGAACCATCTGCCTCCCTTCAGACCTACGCTGAAAACAAGAGAGAAAACCCCCTTTAAGGGGCCAGTGACTCAGGGCTGTGCGACTCAAACTTGAATAACATAAAACCAGCTTTCCCAGGCAGAGAAAAATGGGGGGGGTGCGCTTAGCAGAAGCTAATGTTTGGGATCAGATGAGTAAATAACATTTTGAAGAGGAGCTGACGCTGCCGTTAGCTGTCACCTGAAGTTGACCATAAGTTAGCGCACTGGCATGCACACATGGCATACTCACATGGTTCTGAAGGAATAATACTTTCTTTTAAAATTACACTATGTTGATGTCTTCCCAGGTCCCCCCAGGAGTCACTGCTCATCCACACTCCCTGGCCCCCAGGTCTTCTCACCTGAT